GCCACCCACCATTGGCACCCTCTCCACTGATACTAATGAGCCAAACAGAACCTACTACTGGTCATGTGAGAAACCAATGAAGGCATGAAGTGTGCAGGCTTCAGTCACAAAGATGCACCTGCTGAGGAGGTGCTTTAGCACCCCAGGTTTCTCACCCCAGCCTGTTGCCCACCATCTGACGAGGTCAGGTCCCATCTCATTTTGTGTTATCAGTGGAAGGCAAAAATACACATGGGCAACAAGCTGAGGGCAGAAAGGGATCACCCTGCCTTGAGTGTGGCAGGGCAGTGGCCAGGACTGACCAAACTCCCTGAGTAGGCTGGTTGACCTGCGCTTGCCCTGTAGTTAATCCAAGGGAGAGAGTGGGGAAAACAATGGAAACTTGCAGGTCGCTCACATGATAAGGAATAACTTTGTTCCTACAAACATTCGGCTATGGGCTTAGGGGTACGGTGAGTCACCCCAACACATGCTGTTTTCTCCCTGGAGTTAGATTCCCCAAGTGTTGAAACAAAGTAAGCAGTAACAGAAGTTGGAGACTTACTTGGGTTTGTTAGGACCAAGATAACCTGCTACCTTCTCTTCGTACATCTGGTACACTACAAATAAAAATCAGACAGTAAAAGGCACATTAAGATCCCAGTACAAGTAACTGTGTCACACAGTGTCTGACTGGAATGCTACAGGTAAATTTACATGCATTGGGAGAGTGAGTGTCTGATCAGGAATATCAAGGGAGGCAAAAAAAGGTAAGTCTTTTTGTTTGTTTGTTTTTGACAGGCAGAGTGGACAGAGAGAGAGAGAGACAGAGAGAAAGGTCTTCCTTTTCCGTTGGTTCACCCCCAATGGCTGTTGCGGCCGGTGTAGAAGCTGTGTAGAAGCTGTTTACTCCTCACCACCGCCATATTGTGGGAGAGCAGATGCATAGAATAAGTCTTAATTCCAGTAACTTAGTCTAGTCGGGTTGCTCCCAGTTGCTCCCCACAGGTGTGAAGCATATTCATGTTCACTGCGGTGTCCGGGTCAGGCCTGCCTCTGGGGTGTGGGTCACACTGTTTGGCCCCGCCTGACACGCAGCCTGCCAGGTCCCGCGGGGCACGTCGTTGCGGCCCCAGAGGCTATTCCAGGGCTTCCCAGAATGCTGTGGTCGCTGGGAGAGGCGTCGAGGCCGGCGACTCAGGCCTCCCCCCGGCACACGGAACACCCAGGGCACGCAGAGCGTTCCAGAGCGCTCTGGCGCTCGCGCTCCGCCAGCTGATGCGAAAGCCAGGGACCACTTGTCTGCTTGCCACAGCTGGGAGCTGCGGCTTTCAGGGGCTGTCTGCGGGTTGGGAAGGAAGCAGGCTGAAGGCTGCTGGCGTGGCCCCCTCTTCCTAGCCAGCCTGAAGCGCGCAGGCTTGCGGGCGCTGGCCCTGCCCTGGAATAGCCTCTGGGGCCGCAACGACGTGCCCCGCGGGACCTGGCAGCTGCGTGTCAGGCGGGGCCAAACAGTGTGACCCACACCCCAGAGGCAGGCCCGACCCGGACACCGCAGTGAACGTGGATATGCTTCATTCACACCCACCACCCATGGGGTCTCACAAGACCTGGGCCCTGTGTGCCGGCCCCCCCCTCCACCCGCCCCCCGCTTCAGGCGGCCCTGTGCCCCGGGACTCAGCCTCGCGGCTGGCTCCGCGAAGGAAGACTGGCGCTGTCCAGGGATGAGCCCCAGTGGCTCAGCGGGGACACCTTGCCCCGGGAGGACTCACCGAACATGTCTATGGTCTGGAAGATGTGGCATTCCTCCCGCCGGAGGCCCCAGGCGCTGTCACAGACCTGGAGGTACGCCACGGCCACGTGCCCGGCCGCAGGACACGGCCAACGGGGTCCCGCGATGGCTGCACATGGGACAGGGAACTGCCCCAGCCGGGCAGCTCGAGTTCGGGCCCGCTGGGGTGGGAAGGAAAACCACAGCAGGGTCACCAACGCGGCAGGTGGTCGACCCCCGGGCCCTGCCTGCCGGCCCAGGGAAGCCAGTGCCTGCGTGGCTATGGGCACGTGGGCCCCAGAGGCGTCCTCGTCCCCCGCCAGGCCAGCTCTCAGCTCTGCAGGGGTTGCTGGAGAGAGCCGCGGACTGAGCCGCAGACGGCCGGCCGGGCCGGGCGGGCCCGGGGCCAGGCAGACAATGGACTCGGACCCCAGAGCTCTGACCCCGCCCAAAGCACTCCAGGACCCTCGCAGGAGCTCTGGCGGCACGCATCGACTGCCCAGGCCACACCTGGCACCACCAATGCACCTGGCTTGTCGAGGTGGGACAGCCCTCGGGCCACCGTCAGAACCCCTCCCCCACCACAGTCTGCCTCCGCAGCCTCTGTGGAGTGGCCCAGGATTCCCCGAGGACCCGTCCATCCCCGTGCCGCCCACCGAACGCTGAGTGATGTGGTTGGGTCGTGGCTGCGGGCCAGACTCCGGTCAGCCTCCGCGTGGAAAGCGGGACAGCCACCGGACTGCAGGACGTCCTAGGGGGCCACTGGGTCCGCACGGATCCCGGGACGGCCTCCCCAGGGGTGGGGGCAGGCCACAGCCACCTCCGTGTCACTCGCACGCTTGGAGGCCATGCTGCCACCGGGCCCACAGACACACGGGGCCGAGGGGGGCAGTGGGTGTGCGGGCACCACGCGGCCCAGCCCTGGGCCTCCCGGGATAGCGGGGAAGTCTGCCGGGATCCCAGCCCCGGGGCGGGGCCTTCACGGGGTCGGGAGACCTACCTGGGCAGGGCAGGACCTAGGGAAGGCCGCTCCCGATCCAGAGCCGTCGGGCCGACTGCAAATGGAATGAGACAGGGGAGGCCCCACTGAGGACTAGGCTTACCCACGCACAGCCTAGATGTGTACATACCCCAGTGTGGTTGTCTTGGTGGCTCAGAAGCTGGCGTTTAGATAGGCCTAATCTAGATAGTGGCTTTGCTTGCCTGCCAGGGTAGTCTTCGGACCGCCCATCACCCACTACATTTCAGGGTCTCTATTGCGCTCTATACCCCACTTAGTGTTTTTTGCGCCCATCTTTGCCCCGTGCTGCCAACAAGCAACATTCAGCCCTGGCACGCACAATTCTAATGGCAGGTAGGTGGGATACTTGACTCTCCCTGCCTACCCTGCCAGTCGCTGGGTTGGTGATACCACAGGACTCTAGGTGTTTCGAATGGCAGGGCTTCCCTGAATGCTGTGGTCATTGGGAGAAGTGTTAAGGCCTCGTATCTCCATAGAGATATCTGTGCAGTATCACTCAAAGGTACTAAAAGTTGTGAGTAGTGATATCTGTTGCTTTTTTTTTTTTTCAGCATATTTTTTATTAACTGGGTGTCAATTCATCTGACCTCTGCTGTTTGTTGGGAAGTGTCAGCTCCACACTGGGATGTCTTGGGTTTTCTTTTTCTCATGGTTTGTTATGGACAATCAATTCAACTCGATTTCTAACTGCCTCACCACAGTCTTGACCTCAGTGACCATTGGAGTTTTTCATACCCTCTGCTTTTTGGGTTCATTTCATTTGGGCCCTGTGCTCCTGTTTATCTTTTCCTACTCTCCTGTATTCTTCCAGAACTGGTAGCGGTTACAAAGTTTCAGCAGTTTGTGAAGAGATTGCTGCTGAAGGCTCTTAGTCTCATCCATCATTTTAGCCAGACCTCATTGTGCTGACAAGCCTCTGGCTGGTCGGATACACTGCTTGGGGCATGAGGCGGTATTAGCTTCATGGGGTGTTTCTGGGGAACCAATGAATCCAACTCTAGTTGCTATACTATGCTTAGATCCCCAAATTCCTCATGTGTTCATGCTGTGTAAATCTGGTGTTTTCCTGACCATGAGAGCCATGGGCCCTGCTCCAGCACACAGTGCTCTTGTTACTCAGCTAGGGCTGTGGCTGCAAGGGCAGACCTGTGGCTGTGTACTGGGGAGAACCCTGGGGCTCGAAGCATCACCTTGCCCCAGAAGTACGTCACTGCCAAGGCCAGCTTCCCTGAAGAAGCATTCTTCTTGTTGGAGGTTCCAGACACTGGCACAGATCTCATCGTAAGCCATCTCCACAATGTTGTCCATAGGACAGGGCCACCAGGGTCCCACTCTGGGTTTAGGCAGGCCATTGAGAACTCCAGCTGGGCCAGCCTGAGACTTGGCCTGCGGGAGTGTGGAGATAAGGCACATTTACAAAACATGGAGTGAGTAGCACCAACTCATGCCCCCCTCCAAAGCGTAACAGTGCATCTGTGGCTAGAGGTAAAACGGGCCCCAGCAGGATGTCCCACTCCCTGGTCACAAGGTGACTCTGAGAGGACTGGCGGTGACAAGCTGAAGACTGAGTCCCAGGGATAGAGACACATGGGCAGGACATGTCCTCTGGCAAACAGTTGCCTGCCCTGCTAGGGAGCAAAGACCTCTGACACCCTGCATGGCTGCCTCCCCCGTGAAGGAAGCACCAGGAGCCTCACTGAAGCTGTGGGGTCACCCCTGAGACCCAGTCAGGCATCAACTCCCCAGATATCTCGATGATGACAGATACACCTGCTGAGGAGTTCCTTGTACCCCAGCACTCTGGCTCTCTCACCCCCACTCCTCAGACTGCTCCCTCTGCCTTCTGATGGCTGGCTCTGGGATCTCAATGGATCACTTTTGTGCCACCCACAGATGGAATGCCCCTACATGGACAGAAATTGAATGTAGTCCAAGAGTGGCCCTCTCCTCTTGTGAGCCAGGGAAGCTGTGGTGACTTCCGGAATTCCACATAAAGGCCACTTGGTCTGAGTCAACCCAAGACTATCTCTTGGGCAGTGAGTGGAAGAGGCCATGGGAAACCCCTTTGGGCAACTCCATGACAAGATGCAATATTGTCTTCTGAGACAGGAGGACATGGTCCTGTGGGAGTGCCATGGCTCCCTCAGCCTGTTTTTGTCTCTCCCAGGATCTACTGTGACACTTCAGGGCTCCCTGCAAAGGTCAAAGTCCACAGGGCTGGCAGACCTACCTGGGTATGGGGAGAGTCCACGTAAGGCTCCTCCTGGTTCCCAGATGTCTGGTTGACTGTAAATCAAGTCAGATAAGGAAGGACACCTTCAGGAAATGGTCCAACGCCACAGCTACCGCCACCAGGACTTCTACTTTTCCATGAGAGACATCTGGGACTTTGGCAACAGCCTCAGAGGCTACAGTGTGTCTCCAGGCCACCATCCCGGGCTGACCATATGCCCTTGGAGCCAGGTGATCCCATTCTCTCCATTGAAACAGGATGTTACCCACATCTCCCGTGGCCTCATTTTCTGGAAACCCTAAGATCATCTGGCCCCCAACAACATCAGCTCCAGCAATAGGCTACCTGGCTGTTGGGTTGAGAACAGCCAAATGCGAATTTGCTCTTCATTGTCTTGGAGACTGCATGGACAGTGAACTCTGTGTACTGCTACTGGGTGGAAGTGTGAGTTCTACAGAGCCTCTGGTCCACCAGGATCTCTGGGGCCACCCAGAGAGTGTAGGGCATTAGTGGCTCCAGTCAGACCTAATGCCCAAGATGGAACACTGAGGGCATGGCATAGTGTTCTAGAGAACTCGGGAGCTCAGTCAACTTCATCAGGGAAGAGAAAGGCCACATGGTTTGCTAGGCTGAAATCCAGAGGTAGCTGCAAAACGCAGGGGGCTGTGGCTGTCAGGGAGTGTTACCAGGGTGTGAATATCCCACAGGAGATGGCCATAGTGTTACTTCTACTGTGAAACAGATTATTTGACACTCTACAGACAAGGAGATTGAAATCCACAAAAGATCTGTCCCACGGTGTGAAACACGCTGAGGAGCAGCCGAGACTTTCCACTCTTGCACTGTGGCTTTTGTTTCCCTCTAACAAGCTGCCTCCAGTCCCATCCTCTCTCCGGTGTTTTGAAACTGGAGGAATACAGTAACTCTTTCCTCCATACCCACCCTCACCCCACCTTCTCTGGCTGTGATAGAGCTTGAGATTGAGTCACAGGGATAGAGACACATGGGCAGGACATGTGGCTCTGGCAAACGGTTGCTGCCCTGCTAGGGGAGCAAAGACCTCTGACACCGTGCAAGGCTGCCTCCCCAGTGAAGGAAGCATCAGGAGACTCACTGAAGCTCCCACCCCACCTTCTCCCTCTCCTATTCCCGTTCCCCAAAAGGTTTCTCTGGGAAAAAAAAAAAAAAAAGAAAATCCAGATTGGTTTTAGAAAGTCTGTCTATACTATCAATTCAACGTAAATTTTCTCTCTCCCCCGCCCATCCCCGTAACTCTGCCTATAAAATAAAAATCATCTTTATAAAAAGGTAAGTGTATTTCAATGGAAATAAAATGGAAATCCAAGCATGAAAAAAGAAAGCTAGAGGATGCGGCCTCCTGCTCCAAGGCCAGTTGCATCAGGGAGGAGGAGATCTCTGCAGCCCTGGGACCTTCAAAGCTCTGCATTTCCCACTCTTTGTTCCTACACAAGTACCCTGACCAAAAATGGCCGCAAATGTTTAGAGAACTATTTACAGAATTGTGTTACACAAACCTACAGACTGTTGGTAAATGTTCTTTGAAGAAGTGTGGAGTCGGATGCCAACTTGAGACCATCTTAAGTCTCAGAGCCTTGGCCACCTTACCTGTGCTGAGTTTGGCAACAAGGTGCTCTGTCAGCTTGAGCAGCTCAGTGAGTAGTTGCCGGCTCTGGCAGCTGTCAGGGTCCTGCTGGGGTGAGGAGGGCCTGGAGATTTTGATGAATGAGCTGAGAAAGAGCTCTCCCTTCCTGTAACTTCTGCTGTAATTGGGTCAGCTCTTGGGCCTGCTCTTGAATTTGAACACCACATTTCCTAAGGTGTGACAGGAGAGAAGATGTCAAGGTGGGAACGGCCCCATGGTGTGTTCTGTGTCTCTGCAGAGATTTGGTGAGAATGTGCTCACAGGGCCCTCTAAGCAGCATCACTGCCTGTGTGTGGGAAAATGCCCACAGTAGGGAAGAGGAAAAGATGGAGCAAGAGATTCCTCTTTAGTAGAGAGACAGACCTTGCGAGATTACTAGACACTGGCTGATTTTTGGTTCTCTAAACAACACCAAGGTTCTTCCTCAGCTCCCTCACCAACATGTTCCTTAAGTTCCTCACTCCAGCCACAGACCTTTCCTTATTAAAATGCAGTGTGCAGCGAGTGGTCACAAAGGTAGACACAGAAACATGCCAGGCACAATGGCTTTCAGCAGAAATAACGACTGACAGGGAGAATCTAAGACAGCATCCACGGTCAGGAGGTGATGGAGACACAGTTAATGAGGAGGGGATCCTACAGCACTGTGTGGATACAAAACGTCTCTGTGTGGTTCACGTTCTTCAATTTTGTATGTGAATTTCAAGTCAATAAGTGCCTCGTTTTTCAAGTCGAAAAGAGGTTCTAAATATCCACTGCAGCCTACAATTTGGTGATTTCTCTGTTGTCTGCCTGTTTTATAAATCTGAGGGGTCAGCCCACCATGTAAATCCCTGCCCTTCTCCTGGCCACATCAGTTCTTGGTTCCCCAGCTGAGCTGCCCCACTTAGAGATGCATTCACCTTTCCACCTGCCCACCCGAGAGAGCCCCCTTACTTGAGATTCTCCGCAGGTAGCAGCTCCTCTGCCAGCTGCCCCTCCAGGAAGTGCGGCTTCTCCCTCAGCATTGATTCAATTAGATCTTCATACTCTTCACAATCTGAGGAAAGACACGCACACACATACACCTGCCTCAGTGGAAAGGTGAGCGGCTGCTAAGGTCACTGTCTGTCAGGAAGTGGAGCTACACCATCAAGCTCTTGGTGTGAATTTCCTCCTCTTTTGTTTCTTTAGCTCCCATGGACAGGACATTATAATCTCCATTTTATTTATATTTGTTCAGGGATTTAAAAAAAAAGCTTTATATATTTTTTGGAAAGCCAGAGTTACACAGAGAGAAGGAAAAGCAAATAGACAGAGAGAGAGGTCTTTCAATCTTTGGCCGATCCAAAGCCAGGAGCCAGGAGCCTCTTCCGGGTCTCCCACATGGGTGCAGGGGCCCAAGGCCTTGGACCGTCTTCTACTGCTTTCCCAGGCCACAGCAGAGAGCTGGATTGGAAGTGGAGCAGCCAGGTCTTGAATCGGCACCCATAGGGGATGCCGGCACTGCAGGCGGTGGCTTTACCCACTATACTACAGTGCCGGCCCCTCAGGGAATTTTTTCTAATCCCTTCTTTTTTTTAAATATTAATATTTTATTTCTTATTTTTTCAGTTAACTTTTTTTTAAAGATTTACTCATTTATTTGAAAGGCAGAGTTATAGAGATTCAGAGTCAGGGAGAGAGAGCTAAGTCTTCCATCTACTGGCTCACTCCACAAATGGCCACAATGGCTGGAGCTGTGCCAACCTGAGGCCAGGAGCTAGGTTCTTTCCCCAGGTCTCCCACACAGGCGCAGGGGTCCAAGCTCTTGGGCCATCTTAGACTACTTTCCCAGGCCATAGCAGAGAGCTGGATCAGAAGTGGAGCAGCCAGATTCAAACCAACACCTGCAGGTGGTGGCTTTACCTGCTATGCCACAGCGCTGGCCCCATATAATGTATTTTTCATTTATACTACTACCAAAGGCTTAATGGCTCTACTTAATAAACAGTTCAAGAAATAAAGTATAAGTGGACCATAATCCAGCCAGAGAATAGACAAGAGTTATATACAATAATCAAATCAAAAGATGCTCATCTTCACTTATGTTAAGTAACTCTAAAGTAGTCACAGAAACACCAAAGCTATAGTAGTATATAATTCCCACCAATTTATTGGATAAAGATTTAAAATAACATTTGAGAAAATACTACATTGGCAGCAAATGAGCGAAGAAGAGTTCAAATGCACCTGAAGGGACTTGGCAAAGTGACTCAGCTGGAGCGGGACAGTGTCAGAATTCCCACCCTACAGCTCAGTGAAAATGTGGAAAATTGGCTGAACTTGTGCCTCAGTTATTCCTGCACAACCAACTGATGCTGTAACTACTAACGCTAATCCTTCTCAGAGCATGGTAGCTATGTAACTTATTTGGTAGAGAGAAGAGAAGGATCAAGGTTAGCAAACAGGTCATTTCTCCAAGAGGTGACATCAAATACTCATCATTTCGGTGACACTGAACCTATAGAACTTATTGTGGAATGGGAACATGAATAATGCTGTGTCTCCCATTCAATCTATATTAACAAATTTCTCTATTTTATTTATATTTCTTTTTTAGAAATAAAACATTAAACACAGGGAAAAGAACGAACTTACTGTGGTCCCGCAGGTGCTTTGCCAGGAGGTAGGCCTTAGCCTCAGCTCTAAGAAGCTTCTCCTTCAGTTCTTTTGATTCTCGTTGGCTCTTTGCCAGTTGAGAGCTTAATTGCTCACTGGTTTCTACCCTCACGTCAAGTGAGGGACCGAGAGTCAGTGCCATATCGATGCTTGTAGCAAAATGAGTATATCCAGGGACTAGGAAGAAGACACCCAAGAAAAAGAGGAGTTAAAGAAAATGAAACCTCTTCAGTAGGACTGATAGATGAGGATAACTGTACCTCCCAACTTACTGTTAGGAAACACCCCACAACACTTTAACGCCTTTATTCTCGATTCAGTCAGGTGCCAGAGCTCAGAGCATAAGCTCCTGCTTATTGCTCAACATCCGACAGAGTGAGAGAAGTAGGGCTTCACTTCCAGGTAACTTGGCAGTTACTGTCACAGAATCAAAACACGGGGGTATCATGGAATCTTGGGAGCCACTGCCTTCCAGTTGCCTAGGCCACCTGGCTGATGCACAAGCCTGATTGGTCCTTTTAAAGTCTTAAGGGGACCACCTCTGAAAGTCTTAAGGGACCACCTCTTAACGTCTTAAAGGGACCACCCACTCAACACAGCCTCCACAGTTGTGTACCCCTGGCTGAAACCATAGTCCTACCTTTTCCCAAAGCGTCTAAGCATATTTCTCATTCCTCTGTTCTAAAAGATTAAGGCAGGACTCATATCCTAACAATTTTTACTTTAAGGGTTGTCATAAAGTCACTCCAACTTTTCTTTATGTCAAAAGAGACCACAAGGCTTTTCCACCACTGAGAGATGCTGAATTATAAACTGCCCATGATGTTCTTCTCAGACTCTTCAGCTTCTTAGACCCACACAGCACAGCACAACACTAAGCCAAGGGTTCACTTTTAAATGTTTTGTATCCCATCTCAGTAGACTTTCTGTTGCACTCAAGGGTTGTGCTGGCTTTGCCCTGACAGGGGCAGCACATGGGCATTTCATTCAACTGAAAGCCAGTTAGATGCCCTTACATCCTCAGTGTCTTCCTCTAAGTGGGCCTGCCCTGTTTCACCATCACTTGACGGACACTTTACACTTGACACTTATGGGTTTCATTCGAGCCCCACAAGAGCCTTTTCAAGATATCAACTGACACAAATAGTTGATGTGAACCTCCCCCCAATACACAGTGAACATCCATGTGGGAAAACTTGCAAATCTGATGGTATTCTTTTCATATTTGCATTCAGTTTATCTACATATTGAACAGGATCCATCTGCAGTTTTTATGTAACATTGCCTGATAAATTTTCTTATTGGCTAAGTCCTATTGAATGGTAGCTGAATTCCACTAATGAGGCTGGTCCTGAACCCCTCAGCATCTTCCCACTCTAATGTGTAAGATATCAGTTTCTGAGATGAATCAAAGGTATGAAGAAATTCATTTTCAGCTGTCTCTGATCTTCATATTCTATGGCAGAAATAATTATTCATCAAATTCTTAATCTTAAAAATCATAAACTAAAGCATCACAAGATTACATGTCCTACTTTACATTGTACAGGGGTGGATTTAGGGTAGTGTTAATAAAAACAAAGTAACAGTGACAACTTCTTGGTGAATTTATACCCAGCATTTGGCAAAGCACTGTACAAATGACAACATTTCACTTTCATCACAATCCTTGAGATGATCATGAAAGTACAATGTCCCAAAGAAGAGGGACAGGAAATGACTCCTCTGGCCATATTTAAAGGAACATGTTCTCTGGTTCTGGCAGAGTGGCCAGTGAATAAAGGGAGCAGCACTTATTACAGCATCATTTTCCAGGGCATATATGTGCCTCATGGGCTACTAGGACCAAAATATGGAGGCATCTGCAAGCTTTCTTTCCTATATGCAACACAACTCCTATCATCGAGGATTTCAGATTCTTTGAGATGTCCAAGAGAAGTATGAGATTAGGGTCTTTGACTGATGTAATTTCATCTGCTATTTAATATCCGTGATTCTCTCTAAGGCTCTTGCCTGGTGTGTGACATTCCTTCCTGCTAAGAACACCACTGTAATCTTGGGGTCTTGGCTACTATATAGGCCAACATATCTGAGACACTCATGTCACCACTTCTGTGTGGGGTCTGGGGCATGCTAAAATTGTACACATCCAGTCTGGAATTTCCCTGAGGTTCAAGTGACACACATTCATCCACAGGGCATGACATTGGCAGATGAAAACAGTCTATGGCTTCATCTTTGTATTAACTGAAGTCCCGCAGTCTAGAGACCAGGTTTTCTCAAGGTAGGAGATCAGCATTGAACTACAGAAGGGAACGTCTGAGCAAGATTTCATGCCCTCCACACTCAAAAATCAAATAGAATAAGACACAGCACCACACTATGTCTGCTGGTCACATGTAAGAATTGGAAACAGACACCTTAGAGCACAGATCCTAAGTGAAATGTTCACCTTCTACATGCAATGCACCTCTACTTACCATATACGTACGTGTAAAGCTTCACGGCCACAATGTTGTATCTGAAATTATGAAAGTCAAATGTATTTTCAAAGACAGATCTTCTTGGTCTTTAGCAAGGCAATAGGATGTAAATACCACATAAGCCATGCAGTACTTGTACTTCACTGCATCAGAGCCAGAACATTTAGCCAAACACATAATGTCGGCAAGGAAATATGTGAACATTCTCATAATGCAGGTAAATAAAGACAATGCATAGTCTCTCGCCTCTTCTATAAGGTTTTGTCACTGAATGAGAATATGAAATATCTTTCAATTCATACATCTTATTAGAGCTTAGAACTAAAAATGAGGTTATGGAGGTTTAGGGGTCATAGTTTGAAATGAATACAGGGAGGATGATATGGAAGGGAATATGGTTTGGGATGAAGGTGTTTCAGAGAACAACCCCAGTGTACCAAGATACTATACCCTTTTTTCTTTCCTAAAACTCAATTCTCATTGTCATTTATTCTTTTTAGAAACATTGTTGATTCTGTTCGTTCCCCTTATTCTACCAATAGCATATTATCGTCCACTTTTCTCTCCTAAGGTCCAGAATAACACTAGACTCATTCAATAGGCTCTGGATTCTAATGTCTTCCAACCTCGTGGATCAGCTAAGTTTCAGGTTAACTTGCCAGAGATGGTAAATCATTTCTAAGGAAGTACGAAGACTGAACAAAACTCTGCTGCTCAGAATCCCATCTTTGATGACTCCAAGGCGCTCATTTGGGTTAGTGATACATCTCCTAACTATGTTCCCCTTCTGCTTCACTACAACCCATTCTCTCTCCCTTGGGCATATTTGGCTTAGAGGAACTGCCTTTTGAGTTTTTATTATCTGTATGTTCTTCCTCTATACATGAATGAGGTTACTTTAAAGTTTCCTTCTATCTATTTAAATTCCTTTGTAAACTTAATTTGAAAAATCAAGAGAAAGCAATAACATAATGAAAACAAAATGTGTGCTTTTTATTTAATCTCCAAAACAACTAAAAAAAAGTTTGAAATAAATGTGGAGGTGTTTCCAGTACCATGACAACTGTGTTGGATTTCTAATTCCAATGACGTAGATTCTTCCATCCATTTTGTGATGTTTGTAACTGTATTAGTAACAACTGATGTTACTAACCTGGTTAACAGGTACTACCAAACTTTTAAGGATGAACTAACAGCAATTTATCTGAAATGATTCAAAGCAATGTAGAGCAAGGGAATCCTTCCTAACAAGTTCTCCATGAGGTCAGAATTCCCTTTATTTCAAAACTGGACAATGACAAAGCATCACCACAAAAATGAAAACTATAGGCCAACATCTCTCATGAACACAGATGCAAAAATTCTCAATAAACTGCTAGAAAACTGACTACAGCACCGTATTTAAAAAGATCACTGTGCCAAACAAGTGAGATTCATCCCAGGGATGTGAGGATGGTTCAAAACAGAAATCATACATATCACATATTACCTCAATGGAACAAAAGATTAAAGTTATATGATCATCTCAGTAGATAATGAAAAAGCATTTGCCACATTCAATATCCATTCAAAATAAAAGCCCTGAATTAATTTGATTTTGAAGGAACATACTTCAACATAATAAAGGTAGTAAGTGGCAAACCCACAGTCAATGTCATAGCGAATGGAAATGTTGGAAAAATCTCAGCTAAGATTTGGAACCAGATGAGGTTGTCTACCGTCACCACTCTTATCCAACATAGTACAAGAAGTTTCTGTCAGAGCAATTGTGCAAGAGAAACAAAAGGCATACAAATAGGAAAGGAGAAGTTAAAACATCTCCATTTGTAGATGACATGAGTCTCTATGTAGAAAAGCCTAACATCTACATCAAAGACTGTTAGAATAGGCAAACTACTTCAGTGAAGCTGCAGGATAAGAAAGCAACAACCAACAAGTAGAAGTTTGATATGAAAATAATAAGAGCAATGACTTCAAAAAGAACAAATTACCTTGGGATAAATTGAAATAAGAATGTAAAAGATCTCTACAAGGAAAATTAGAAAATCTGAATCAAAGAAATTATAGAAGAAACAAATAATGGAGAACCACTACTGTTCATAGTTGGGAGAATTGGTATTTTTAACTTATTTATACTACTCAAACCAATTTGCAGACTCAATTGAATACCATCAAGATGTAAATGACATTCCTCACAGAACTAGAAAAATAATTCTAAAGTTCTGACTTTCAAACAAACAAATGAATAAATCTAAAAAAAGAAAAAGAAAGAAAGAAAAGTGTGGGGCTACCACACAGCCATCCCTTGTTCTCATCACAGAATATCTCATGAAGGAGGCAATAGAACTCAACTTCTGGGGTCTTTCCAGACTAAACAAATAATCATTTGTAACTGACAGGCACCACACCTGGTTCCTGAGGTTTCTAATGACCTCGCTGGCACTCTAAATCTGATGTTAAGATGTCCCTTTGCAGAGCAGAGATGATTTCTGATTTTCTACTTGACTGGAGCTCTTCTTGCTCCCTTAGCTGGCTTTCCAAGGGCTTTTTCCCAGGGCAGTGGCCTGTGCTGAGCCCAGATGCACAGAGCATGGCCTTTCCATGAGAACCAATGTCCTGAGGGTATCATGCTCCTCACCCTCTGAAAACAAATATACCTTCTTCAGAAAAAGTTGAATATGGTGCCAGCACTGTGACATAGTGGGTAATGCCTCTGCATGCAGTGCTGGCATCCCATATGGGCACTAGTTCGAGTCCTGTCTGCTCCACTTCTTCTCCAGCTCTCTATTATGGCCTGGGAAAGCAGTTGAAGATGACCCAAGGGCTCAGGTCCCTGCACCCACGTGGGAGACCCAGAAGAAGCTCCCAACGCCCAGATTTGCATCAGCACAGCTCTGGCCGTGGTGGCCATCTGAGGAGTGAACCAGCAGATGGAAGATCTCTTTCTCTCCCTCTCCTCTCTCTGCATAACTGTGACTTTCAAGTAAATCTAAATCTTATAAAAAAGAAAATGTTGAATATTCTGCAGTGACTTCTATACTTGGGAGAAGGCAGGTTTGTCACAAGGACAATAATGACTAGAGGCAAAGTTGAAGCTGTACTGTTTTCAGCCCTGGCACTGTATCAGGCCTTAAGATGCAGTGCTTCTTAGCTTTTCAACAGCCCTGCAAGTTAGGTGCAGTTGCCTGCTTTTACTGATGGTGAGACCTACACTCAGGGAGAGGTAAGGTGGCTTATTCTAGGTCACTCAGACTAGCAAAGACAGATCCAGAATTCAAATCCTACAATGTCCTGTGTCTTTTCCACACAGGTCCATGTATCTCAAGTATGACAGTGACATGGGCCTTCTATACCAAGGATGGGCACAGGAGCTGTGGACAAGAAATTCTTTCATTCTGAAAGCATGATGCTCTTAACATATTACTATGATTTAACAGTGTTTTGGGGGAGGGCAGATGCCATTTTCCAGCAGGTTAAACAACAACTTGGGAAGGCCACATCCCATATCAGAGTCCTTGTTCCAGTCATGGCCACTCTGCTTTTGATCCAGATCCCTGTCAAAATATCTTGGGGAGCAGTGGATGATACTTCAAGTACTTGGGCCCCTTCCACCCACATCTGGACCAGACCAAAGCCAGGAACCAAGAACTCCATCTCTCTCTCTCTCTTCCCCTCCATCGCTACATCTCCAATACTCTGTCAAATAAAAACATAAATCTTTAAATAGTGTTGAATCTACATATTTGGAAAAGCAGAAATAGTCGAACAGGACTTCAAAGAACTGCATCAGTGTCCATACACCAAGGTGAACACTCCCCCTCCACCGTGGACTCAAGTCATATGTCTGTCACAGCACTTCCCGTGCCTTTTGGCAGTTTCTTGTTTTCCAGGTGGAGCTCCTGGAGAGCTGGGGTAACATTTCATTCAACTCTGCATCAACAGCACATAACAGCACCAGTAACAGCTAGGTAGGAGCACTCAGTAACCATGTGCTCAGAGGCTGAAAAGAGAAGACATCATCTCATGGGCATTCTGTCCCAGTGGCCTCTCAAATCCTCTGCCTTCTCCATTTTGAAAAATCCTCAGCAAAGTTCATTTCTGTAGGGGAATCCTGACAACTCCTTCAGAGTGTCTGAGGAGAAAATCCATGTGTTGAGCAGTGATAAATGTGGCAGGGATAAGGAAGCAATGTCACCACACACTGCTCAGTCTGGGCTGCATCCAAAACCAGTGCATCCCAACACTCAGCAGTTGTCACACCCCACTGGAACTGTCTGGTTTGGGGCCATCTTTCCTCACTCCCTTGGACACTTCCAGGGCATAGATCAGGCTTTATTGCCTGTTGCCAATGCCTAGGGCATTACTTGCAAAACTCAGGAGAAAATGTTGTGAAAACCTTTCTAAAGGCTGAAGATGTGCTGAAGATTAGTATCACCACTGCTTTGGTGCAAGGGAACCTTTCTTTTGTATCTGCTGACCTAAAAGGAAGAACTGTGTAGGTAATGACTGGCATCCCCAGCCCACCTCCAAGTGTTTCCATCCATCCATGCCCACATTTACCTGATGGGCATCGCTGGAAGGGCAGTTCCAGGGTCAAGGCTCTGGGGTCTGGAGTAAGGCCTCCTGTGCACATCCCCTCTTCTTGGCATAGGTCTTCCTTGGGAGAACAAAGCAGGGCTGCATTCCTTCTGTCGATCTCCTTGTTCAGATACTCAAGGAGTTCTGGATAAGGGCACTATCTCATTCCTTGCTGCTCAGTACCAGTTGCTATTTAGGGAGGGTGATGATGCTGTGCACATTCTTTGCTTTTCTCTGGACCTTCCCGAACTCAGCCTGAAGGTACACTCATTCAGACCCACTTTTGTGACCCCAGGATCTACTGTCACCTCATTCTTCTCTTTGTCTTCTTGGATCTCCCACCCACCAGGCACTGCATCTCCTATTATGCTCTTTTTGTTCTGCATTCTCAGGCCAAAGGTTCAGCGAGATGCTCCTGAAGGAAACATAATCAGGGTTGGGTATGCTCTTGACCACAGTTGTTACTGATCTCTATTACAGACATCTTATTCCATAATTGACTCAGACACACCCCAGAGCATGAAGTGACCTCACAGACCTACAACAGCTTCCTTATTTTTCAGGAAGACAATCAAGGCTCAGGAAGGATTAGACTTGCCTATATCTCCACAGCTACTTGGATACAGCACCACAATTAAAAACCTTGGTCTCAAAACATCCTGAGTCTCAGAACCTCTTGTGTTCAAGGTGGCCTTTGAAAGAAAAGCAAAATTTCCTTACACCATATGGAAAAGAAATGAGGACCATGACAATAGGAAACGTGTTATTGTGGGTTCTACAGCTATGTGAATTACCACCAGCCAGTTTTAAGTCAGTAGATGATAAACTGGGACCTGGGAACACAGGACAAAACAATCACACTCATCAGAATTTTAAATTGTAAGCATAATGCACTTAACTTATTATTTGTTCAGGTTTCGCTCATGTAATAGGAGGCAGCCTTCATGAGAGCAAGAACTGTTGTCTGTCGGGGTCACAGAGTATGCCCAGTGACTTCACAGGTGCCTGCATAGAAACATTCACAGGTGTTGAAATAAGATGGACTAAAACAATTTTCTGAACTGACAACTCACTCGGAACTCACAACTCCAGAGAGTAAATGGGCAAAAGTGGGGAGAGGGGGCAGGAAGCAGAAGGAAGAAATAGAAGCAGTAAAACTATGTGCAGATCCGAGGGAAAGTGGAATAAGGATATGGGCTAGAGAGGCGGCTGAGAAGCTCAGGGAGGGCAGAGATCTGACTGAGAAGTGGCTTATTTAAAAACTTACTTTGTCATTCCAGGTCCCCATCAGCTGCCAGACGCACCAGATCTCAGAAGGGAATGGCAGAACCTGGCACCAATGTCACTGCTGCTGGCTCTTCCACGTGCGGCCTCTTCCTCAACATTGTCAGTGAACTTGCTGCTCTCATCTTCAGTGTCATCCCCGTGGCTGCGCCTGGAAGGCAGTTCAGAAGACAAAGGGGATTCCCTTCACAGATGGCTTCCAGACAGAAGGGCAAATTACACTCCCATCTGCCTCCTCACAGGCTTGGCCCCCGCGAGCCAGGCTGGCAAAGAAGGCAGAACTCAACCTTCTCCTTTGGCATGGATTCTGTGTACACAGAAGCCTACGCTTCAAAATATAAGATGGCTTTGACTGCACACATCTGTAATTAAGTTGCCAGCCTCCAGATAAAGTGGCTACCTTCTTCCTCATTTCAAGTCAGCCTGACTTCTTCCCATTCCTGCCACTGTCCTGTTAGGCAACAACCTTCCCTTCTTTAACATGTGAAAGGGACTACCATTTTCCCCAGCACTGAGTTATGAGAAGGCCCTTCCTTTCTTGGGGCTTAGGAGATCCCTGTTCCTCTCGTACTTTCCCACTGTAGGAATCAGTTGTGCATAGGGTAACAATCTGTATAAGGAACTTCCCTCTTGTAGTCCTGTGTGATCCAGAGCTCCAGGAACAGTCAAGAGCAAAGGAACAGAATGGTTCACACGTTTCTTTATCCTTTTCCCAACATCCCCGCCTTCCCATATTTCTCAAACCCTTGACCAATATAACCATCCTTTGCCTTAGAGGTTTCTTGCACTGCTTTGTCCTCAAGGGATTTTTCATCCATTCTTTCATTCCCCAAAGATGGGCCCAGTCCCCCTAGGCCCAAAACACCTGTAGTCTTTTCCAAGGATAGGGAGCCTTTGGTCCTGGCAAAGCTCCAGGGCAGTGCTGAGTGGCAGAAGGAAGCTTGTAAAACAGATACCAGGCATCGGTGGCTCCTGAACACCTGAAATGTGGCCATGTGACTGAGAATCTGCATTTCTTGTTTTATTTTATTGAAGTTATTTCATATTTAAATACTCACATGTGGCTGGTGGCTACCATATTGGACAGCACAAATCTGCGCTCTTTCTTCCTTTTTACATCAGTTAAAATTTGTCCAATTTGAGATCAAGAACTGTTGTTCAGGCCGGTGCCATGGCTCACTTAGCTAATTCTCCGCCTGCGGTGCCAGCACACTAGGTTCTAGTCCCAGTTGGGACGCTGGATTCTGTCCTGGTTGCTCCTCCTCCAGTACAGCTCTCTGCTGTGGCCCGGGAAGGCAGTGGAGGATGGCCCAAGTCCTTGGGCCCCTGCACCCGCATGGGAGACCAGGAGGAAGCACCTGAATCCTGGCTTCACTTTGGCGCAGTGTGCCGGCTGCAGCAGCCATTTGGAGGGTGAACCAATGGAAGGAAGACCTCTCTTACTCTCTCTCTCTCTAACTCTGTCAAAAATAAAGAACTGTTGTTCACATTACTGATTCATTCTGAAAGCAGAGGTATTAATTATGTTAATTCATGAGACACCAAAGAAAATATCTTATGACTGCCTCTGTGTCTTCCAGAATCTGTGCAACTTACAGAATCTCCAGATCTGATTGTGATCCTGGCCTCAACAGCTACCTCATTAAACTCCTCTCCTTAGCACTGCATAAGTAGGTCTCAAAGAGATTAGGTGACTTGTTCAAGGTGACCCAGGAATCCCTGACAAGGGTGATGCCAAGAAGTCAAGTCTCTGGGCTCTATGACAGATGTGGCTGTTTCTTCTGGTGACAGATGCAATCTTTACCTTTGCTTCTTCTAAGGCCAAGGCACCTGCCCTTGAGCAGACATCTGTGAATTGAAGGGCTCTCATGACAATGTACAGCCACCCTTGGCACATGAGGTGACCTGGAGCAGTTCATGTCTCCACTCCAGGTTTTGGTACCTGCAGGTTTACACGAGTATTTTCAATGACCCTGGCTGATCCCATCAAGAACTAAGAGGAAGTCAGCATGCTGTTCCAACAACTTGTGTTAAAACTCACCCTGGGAGTCTGTGTTGTGTTGTATCATGTAAAGCTGCCATATGGGTGCCACTGCCAGTTCCTGTCCTGTTCCTCTAACTCTTATTTTTTGTAATATTTATTTGTTTGAAAGCGTCACAGAGAAAGGAGAACAGACAGAAAGAGGGAGAGAGGGAGAGAGGCAGAGAGGGAGAGAGGCAGAGAGAAAATCTTCCATCCTCTGGTTTACTCCCCAACTGGCACAATGGCCACTTCTTGGCCAGGCCCATAACCAGGAACCGGAGCTTCATCTACAATTCTCACATGGGTGAAAGGACCCAAGCACTTGGGCCATGTTCCACTGCTTTCCTGGGTACATTAGCGGGGAGCTGGATTGGAAGTGGAACAGCTTGGACTTGAACCAGCACCCATATGGGATATCAGCATCACAGGTGGCTGGCTGCTTTACTCTCTATGCCTCAATGCTGGCTTTGCACAACTTCTGATCCAGTTCCCTGTTAGTGACCTGGGAAAACCAACAGAGGATGATCCAAGCACTTGGGCCCCTGATACTCATGGGGCAGTCCTGGATGAAACTGCTGGCTCTTGACTTCAGCTTGGCCCAGTCCTGGCCTTTATGGTCATCTGGGGAGTAGGCCAGCAGATGGAAGATCTGTATCTCCATCTCTTGCTCTGTAACCCTGACTTTCAAATCAATAAATAAACCTTAAAAAAATCCTCACCCTGTGTGAGAAGTGGGGGTGACAGAGAAAATAACCCAACCCACCAACTTCAGAGAATTATTTTAGAAACCGGCACTTTGGAGGAAAGCCTAACTGTGTATATGCATATGAGAGCGTGCTTTAAAATGTGAAAAATGAGGCTGGTACCGCAGCTCACTAGGCTAATCCTCCACCTTGCGGCGCCGGCACACCGGGTTCTAGTCCCAGTCGGGGCGCTGGATTCTGTCCTGGCTGCCCCTCTTCCAGGCCAGCTCTCTGCTGTGGCCAGGGAGTGCAGTGGAGGATGGCCCAAGTGCTTGGGCCCTGCACCCCACGGGAGACCAGGATGAGTACCTGGCTCCTGCCATCGGATCAGCGTGGTGCGCCGGCCACAATGTGCCGGCCGCAGCGACCATTGGATGGTGAACCAACGGCGAAGGAAGACCTTTCTCTGTCTGTCTTTCTCACTGTCCACTCTGCCTGTCAAAAACAAAATGAAAATAAAGATTGTTTGGAGGGAAAATTCAAATCTATGAAGAGATTTTTTCATAACATACATTTTCCTATTAATGACTCCTATTTAGGTGCATAAAAATTTTGTTCCAAAATAAACTCTTAATTTATTTGAGAAGTTGAGAGACAGATAGCTCCTGTCCACTGTTTTACAGCTCAAATGCTCACAACATTTCCACAGCATTGAGCTGGGAATTCAGTCCAGGCCTCACCCCTTGAATGGTAGGAACCCAATTACTTGAACCATCACCAATGTTTTCCCTCTGTATTAACAGAGGAGTCAGCAGTCAGGAGTTAGAGATGCGTATAAAAACCAAGTACTCCAATATGGGGTGCAGGCTTCTCTACTGGCCTCCTAACATATAGGCCAAATGCCCTCCTGTATACTGCTTATATCTGAATTCTATTTTCCATTAACTTTGTTGAAATACCCATGTTTATCCCATATTCTTTTTTTTAACTTTTATTTAATGAATATAACTTTCCAAAGTACAACTTTTGGATTATAGTGGCTTTCCCCATATTCTTATAATGTGTCTTTCTTTGAACTGTCCCCAAATACATGCAAAGATGTTATATGATCAGGGCAACAACTGAATTACCTGCAACTCTGAGATTGCTCTTTACTAAAACAACACATTGGGACACCTCAATGAAACGGCATCAGTATCCTCACAGAAGCCTGTCTCTTAATGGGCTCTGAAGGGAAGAACAGAACAAACTGAAGGATACCTACGATAGGGCTGGCACTGTGCCACAGCAGATAAGGCCACCACCTGAACCTCCAGCATCCCACATGGGCACCAGTTCGAGTCCTGTCTGTTCCATTTCTGATCCGGCTCTCTGCTGTGGTCTGGAAAAGCAGTGCAAGATGGCCCAGGTCCTTGGGCCCTTGCACCTCCGTGGAAAACCCGTAGGAAGCTCCCGGCTCTGGATCAGTGCAGCTCCAGCCATTGTGGCCATCTGGGGAGTGAACTAGCAGATGGAAGACTTCTCTCTCTGTCCTGCCTCTGCCTCTCTGTAACTCTGCCTTTAGAATAAATAAATAAATCTTTAAAAATATATCTATGATAAAGTAAAGTACTCTGAACACTGCCTAACTCATAACTGTTCTGTCTACGTGAGCATAAACCATTGCTAGTAATCCGCACACTATGCTCTAAGCTCACAGGAACTTCCTCTTGCCCTCTGATCACCTTATGGGACACCCCCATAGGCTAAGTCTGCTCCCACAGAGCCCATCTGAATTAACCTCAGTCCTTCTGTGGAAGGTATTGTGTCTCTCAGCATTCACACTGAAGCTTTAATCCCATTATCTTAGCATTTGGAGATGGTAATTTTGGAAAGAGATATGATTTCGATGAATTTATGAAGGTAGGTTCTTCATAATGGGATTAGTACACCTGAAAGTTTGCTCTTGTTTCTCACTCTCCCCCCACCCCAGGTGAAGACGCAGAAAGATGGTAGTCTTCTGTGACCCTGAAATGAGCCCTCACTATACTATCCACCTATATTGGTGCCCTGACCTCAGACTCCTGGCCTCCAGAACTGTGACAGAAATAATCTCTATTCTTTCTGCCATCCAGTCTATGATGTTTTATTACAGTAGCCAGAGCTGACCACAACATCTCAGTGCTGAGGCTGCCACAAGTTGTTCTTCCATTTCTGAGCACAGAGATTTTGCATAAAGTTCATGAATTAAAAGGATTTCGGAGTGAACCCCCACTCAATCAACTATCAACTGAATTCAATTCTTGATCTCTATTTAATCTCTGAGTTCATCTATTTTCCTCCTGGATGATCACACCTGTTTGCAGGACAAGACAGGAAAATGACAACCCCAAAATGCAGATCTTATGACGTGACAGCTCAATGCCTGGATCAGAGCAGGAGAATCTACTCCATGCCCTTAATTCC